TAAGAGTGGTAGAGAAAAATTTGGGAAAAGACATGAGAGAGATGCAAGAAAATTACGAACAGACAACAGGTAAAAGAGGCACAAAAAATTCTGAAGAAATAACACCTTAAAGAACATTCAACCCCACCAAGATTCTCCCTACAATTTACTATATTGAGAAGTTGAATCTCACAAAAAAGTCTAGCAGGACCACAGCTTATTGTCATCCAAGACATATTATCCATGTGAGATTTTTAGGGAAATACATATTTGCCACTCATCCACCCCCAGGAATCCTTACAGAAAGAGTCATTTATACTAATTCCTGCTTATATCGGTGATTTTAAAATTCTGCTCAATATTATTTTACAACAGCTAGCATACTGGCCTTGGAATTACAAAGGGCTGGGTTCAAGTTCTGCCTCTAATATTTGCAAGCTGAGCCTCAGGCAACTCTCTAAGACTAATGGATTAAGTTCTGGGTGGGTTGTCATCTGCCTCAGGGCTCCACTGGTGAAATCAAAGATCCAAGACATATTTTTCACTGTAACTCTGATTATAATCATGATTGTTTTGCATGAACTCAGATTATTTTCATCAAAGCCAAAAGTCACTTGTGAAAATGTGGTTAATCAATTTCAATTCATTCTTCTTTTCATGAATACAGTAAAAGCTGTTTTTGTTTGGTGTGCTATCAATGGGAAACCTCTATTCATCAGCACATATTGCACTTTTTTTCAGTCCAATTTTAATTGGCCCTGAATTCTTAAAGACTCTGTGTAAGTGCAAATAAGTCCACTGAAGCCAAAACAGTATTGAGTACAATCTTGGTGACAGACTACTTCTGCTGCCCAAAGACCTACCTAGCAAAAGATGGGAAAATCTCATTCCCAGAAGGGTGGTTGTTAGGTGACGGATTTATTGTTTATAGTAATAAGCAGAACATTAGTTTTTAAAACACTGAGGTACTGTGAGATTCTGAATAAGGTTTATTTTATATAATATATAAAATATTAAATACATTGTATATCAATATTATATATAATATATAATATAATATGTAATGGTTGTAATGTAATATATAATATGTAATGTAATTCTATTTTTTTCTGTTTCAAAGGTTGGTAACCCATATATATATATATATATATATATATATATATTCTCACATATATGTATATATTCTCACATATATGTATATATTCTCACATATATGTATAGACTCTCACAGTAGGAAAGGACCTCAGTGCCCATCTATTCTAATCCACACCTGAAAAAGAGTTCTCTAATCAACAAAGAGGTTACCCACCCTCTATTTAAAGACCTCTGATGAAGGGGTGCCCATTACCTTCCTTGGTACCTTACCATTCCACCTTTAAAGAGCTATAATTATTTATGTTTGTTTTAGCTTTAGAAATTTCTTAGGTTGTTTGGCAGAGAAGGAAAGGTGGAAGAAGGCTCCCTTCTGAGAGTTTTACAATACATAAAGTTTCAGAGAAGACCGGGAGCTTTAATTGTTAAGAATTCTTTTCTGTGTATCATATCTAAGTTTTCCTTTGTAACCCTAGCCCCCTGCTCCTAGGTCTGCCCTCTAGGACCAAGCAGTTTAATTCCTGTTCCATGTCATTCTGAAATACTGCTAGTGGTCTGTGATCTTATCAGTATGAGTATTCAGTATTCCCTTCAATGCTGTAGATTGTAAATCATCCTTACCTGCCCAATCTGTAAATCCATGTCCTCAGAATTTTTCAGATACTTGAAGACAACTGTCATCCACCCCTCACCCCATTCTCCACCACATATCTTCTCTTGTCCAGGTTATACGTTCCCAATTCCTTCCATTGATCCTGACACACATGAACTCAAGGTCCCTTCACTGGCATAGTTGACTTCTTCTGGGCATACATCTCTTTTAATCAGAAAAGTCAATTCCATCCCCCCAACTATGTTGAGTTAGAGTTTTTCAAGTAGCTAATAACTCAGAAAAAATATATAGCTAATAAAAGAGTGTCCACTTCATTCTCATCATTGTAACTACCATGTGTTAATTAATCCAGGAACCATCATTGTTGTGTTGCAAGTAAGAAGGACCAAATGATAGTACAACTGCTGTGAGTCAAAGTGGTGTGGGGTAGCAACTTGGCTCATTGCATTTACACGTAGTGATTTGCTAAAGTACTCTCAGAAGTTAAATCTTCCATTATACATCTTGTTACCCATTTATCACTTTAAAAAAGGTGTTAAGTTCTTTGGATGAAATGTTGGTTCTCAGATTTAGACTCATCCCAAACATAAGTTCAATTCAGGAAAACTGGACTAAGAATGCATGAAGTATTTGGCAATTAAAATGTAGTGGGGGCAAGAGGGAAATAAAATGTCTGGTGCTACTAAAGTGGATGAATGCAGAACATGGCTTGGACTTCACATAGCGAGATAATAGCCAGTCCTCAAGAACTCCATAGGATTGAAGACTAGAGAGAGCAGGAGTAATGAATAGCATGCCAGAAGTGGAACTGGGAAGACTCGCATCCAAAATCCTCCCTTTGACACTTACTAGTTGTGTGGTCTTAGGTAAGGTTACTTCATCTGTCTGAGACTCATTTTTCTCATTTCTTAAAATGACAGTACTAGGTCAAATTGTCTCCTAGGTTCCTCTAAGCTTTGAATCTATGATTTAAATCCTGTTTTCTAACTCAACTCCATTTTACAGATGAGGAAGCTGAGGACCAATGAAGGTAGTAAATTCCTTCTCCCACAGGTAGCAAATAGATTTAGGATTTATATACAGGCTCTCTGATTCCAGCTTCCTATGCCCCAAAATGTTTTCCCCAAAAGAAACATCTCTAAGACTTTAGCAAATGAAAAATATCAAAACTATGAAAGAGCCAGTGATCATAGAACCACATCAGGGTTGATCCCAGCATCTGCCTCCATGTTCTCTCCCTGGTGTGTGCTCAATGAACATTATTGACTAAGTGACCAGCATTCTTCCCTGGGAACCCACTGGAGTTGGCCATGGCACAACAGAACGGACAATGGATCTCACACCCATTCCGATAGAAAAACGTTAGCAACTATCAAGGTAAAAATACATATAGTATCTTGAAGTTGCTGTTATTTCCAGCTTCCAGCCATGTCGTATGAGGGCTTCAGAAAGAGTGCTTGGTATAAGGTTAAACATTTAATGTAGGCTGAATAAGGGAGTGACCATGTTTAATTGTCCATGTAGTGACCTTGAGGTAGATATGCAGAGAATTAAAAAGTTAATAGTTGAGAAATGTAACTTCCCCCATATTCCTGTGATTTACCACATTATTCAGGGATTTGATTTGACCTTTACGAGTACTTCCACTAGCCTAATGCTGATGTAATTTTTGAGCGGTCAGGAAAATTAGTCCCCATTAATACGGACATAACGATATCTACTGTTCAAGTTCCTTCCTGAAAGGAACAAATTTCAAAAGAAAGAATTAAGCTGAAGCTCTTTAAAAAAATCTTTTTTGAAAGAGGGCATGACAGACTGTGGCAAAGAAGACAGAATGCTTGACTTTAGGTTGCAACTTTGCTGCTGACAGTTACTAGCCAGCTGTGTGACTGTGGTAACCTCTCTAAGCCTTAAGCAACTCTCTAGGGCTGAGTACAGTGGAAAAAGAGCTAGATTTGGAGGAAGAGATCTAGGGTTCAAAACTTGGCTTTGCCATTTGCGATAGCAAATGCCCTGTGGCCCTGGGCAAGTCATTTCATTTCTCTATGACTCAGTTTCCCCAGCTGTAAAAATGAGAGAATTGGACTAAATAGATTTTGAGTCTCTTCCGGCTCCAGATCTATGATCCTATGAGGAGTTACTGGTGGACTGCAGTGCATAAAGTAGGTTCTCATATCAGCAAAAAAAATCATTAAGTCCTTGAAATTAAAGGTTATGACATCCAATAATGCTGATGCATGTGGAAATACACATATATAACTAACATGCTAATTATATATGTACGTACATGTGTAGATGTGTGTATATATAGACATACATCTGTATACATCTACATAATCTACATCTACATCTATACATATGTATGAAAAAAACACTTTAAGTTCTTATCAGCCCCATTGGGCTCAGCTTTTCATGGCTCGCAACAGACTTTGACAAAAGTGCCTAATAATGCTGGCCCCCAGGGGGCACCAGTCTCTTAGTAATGTTTTCATGAAAGTCACGCTCCAGGGATAACCTTTGCTTCCTCCTACCGGGTTTACAGAGATGCCCGAGTCTCATCCATCATTGCAGAAAGAGCTCTGAGGCCCCCTAAGGGACTCCCTTGGCTTCATCATGGAGCCCAGGGGGTGGTCCACGCTCAACCCAAAATGATTGTTTTCCTTTACTTTTTCCCCTTGCCCCGCAAGCTGAAAGAGTAATGAGGTCCAGATCATCCCATCACTGGCACCACTGCCCTTGACCAAAATGCCACTCTGGGTTTTCTGATAAAATGATTCTAGTGAACCAGGAGCTACTTCCTGTTTTGAGTGCGAGGAGGTGGGGATGGGGAAGAATGCCATATATAGGATCATATGTAGATACAGATTTTTAAGAGTCAGAAGGAACATTAGAGGTCATAGAACCAGAGGTCTAGAGCTGAAAGGGACCTAGGGTCTATGTAATCCAACTCCTTCATTTTACAGATGAGGAAACTGAGGCCAAAGAAGCTAATTAATTTGTCCAAGGTCAAACAGGTAGCTAAGTGACAGAACAAGAATTTGAACTGAGGTCCTGGGACTCCAAATCCAGGCTTTTCCCCCTGTACCAGGCTCCCTCTCCCATATACTTGCCTTTGAAAAGTAGATGCTTGGAAACTTTAAGATCTTGGCTGGAAGCAGGCAAGGAACTTGGTGCTCTTTGCTGGGTCAGTATTTAAATAGCTAAGTCAGTCTGGGAGCAGATAGGGAGAAGGATACATGAGGGACATTTAGGCAATGCAAAACCCAAAAGTTATCAACAAAAATTTATTTCTTTTTTTAAAAAGACTGAGAGAGAATCTTTATTCAGTAGATGCCTCAGGTACAGCTCCCCGATTTACAGAAAGGTGTATTAATGCATCTTTTATTATGATAGAGTTTTTGGCCCGTAAAAGTCAACTCTGAGTATAGAAAAGGCAGGTGAATCCATAGCATTGATCCCTGTCCAATAAATTACTCTGTTTTACATGGTTCAAAGTTAGGCTTTTATTTGGTTTTAAATTAAAAAAATAAATTTCATTATTAAATAGTGAAATGAATCTAACTAATGTTTACATAGTAGCTTACTTAGGAATATACCACCAGAGGAAAAATTATGGTGTAGGCCACCCAAACTAAAATCATTTTAATGTTTGTTTGTTTGTTTTTTTAATTTAAAGTCCAACAGTGGCATTATTCAATTAAACTGAAATGCAAAGTTCTTAAATGTATACAATGGAAGTAAACCACTTGGTTTAATGCAACCCAAAACTAATTTCCATGTCAAAGTTAGTCATTCCCAATACTATACCACAGTGCTAATGTCATCGGCTTCATCTGCTTTCTTTTGCCTGCTTGGCAGGGATTTCAAGTATTCTAGGTGCCTCCTGGCATCCTCCTGATTCTGCCGTACGTAATATACCACGTAGGATATCACCATGGTGAACCAGCCAAACATGGTGACCAGCATGGCATAGTCGGTAGTCTTTTTGGGAAGATTACAGAGGTCAGCATCGTTGGCAGCATTAAGGAAAGGCCTCCCGGCATGTTCGTCCAGCACGGAAGTCTTACAGATGACATTGTTAGCTGTCTCATGGTTAGACGCCATGCTTTTCAGGACCTGCTGTAAAGTACAGTCACAGTGCCAGGGATTGTTGGCGATCCTGGCCCTGGCCTTCAGGTTGTTGAAAGCATTTTTGTGAACGCTCTGAATGCGGTTGTCGGATAGGTCCAGCGTCTGCAGGGTCTCAGCCACCCCCTTGAAGGCATGCTCGTCTATAAACTCGATGCCGTTTTTGGACAAATTGAGGACGCGGAGCTGATGCAAGTCCTTAAAAATCTCATTGGGGATGGACGTTATCTGGTTGGAGTCCAAGTAAAGGAGGACTGTTTCGGGAGGAAGATCTCTGGGGATCTCCTTGAGGTTCGCATTGCTACAGGTGACATTTAAACCTCCAGAGGAAGAACAAAGGCAGCCTTTGGGACACATACTGGCTGAATGAAAGCACAGTATCATGAGGACAAAGCTTTGTAGGAGGAGACACATGGAGAGGGAACGAGTTAACCACAGGTCTACCAAATGCATGCTGGGACGTCAGCATAATCACAAGCCCATTCCTCATTTACCCCGATAAAGGTGGCAACGACTCCAGCCCAAGTCAAAAGAACGCTTCCTTGCGTCAGCTGATGGGTCAACAGGCTGCCGTTAACATATGCTGGTCTTCCTTGCTCTCCTCCTCCTTATGGAGATAACTGAAGAAAAGGAAAGAAGGAAGCAAAGGCAATTAGTTCATTTGGGAAGGGAAGATAATGAAGCATCATCAGTAGAAATCTAGAAGTGACCTCAGAGGTCACGAGCTTTCTTCCTGGCTTGGCTCAAATGTGAAGTCTTTCCTGACCTTCCCTCATCCTCCCCCCAGCTGCTAGGTCCTTCCCCCCAAATCCCCTTGGATCTGTTTGGTGCCTGTACACATAGGTACTTGATGCTGCTGGCTGGATTTTAAGTACCTTCAGGGAGAATAGATCTTTTTTCTGTCTCTCCAACCTGTCCCTGCTCCATCCCCACCTTTCCAGTTTTCTTATATTTTGCTAGCCTCCCCATACTCTGAGATTCAGCTACACTGCCTACATGTTGCTCCTCACTTGTGCAGGGCCATCTCCTCACCCTGTGGATTTGCTCTGGCTGTCCCCCACCCCTCGTATTCCCTCCATGCCCCTCTCTGCTTCCCTCCAAGGTTAACTTCTATTTGCACTGTATATGTCTTTATGCCACTAGTTATTTATTAGTTACATCATTCATTGTTTCCCCCATTAGAATATGAACTCCTTCATGACAGAGACCGTGTTCTTGCCTTTGCCATCCCTGGTGCTTTACATAGTATGCAACACAGAGAAGGTACTTAATAAATGCTTGTGGACTGACTGACTGACCCAGCACCTAGTACAGTGCCTATTATTTAATAAATGCTTGTGGATTGATTGACTGGCTCAGTCTTACCCCCTCCCATTTTACAGATGAGAAAAATGAGGCTGAAAGAGTTTAAGAGACTTGTTCAAGTTTCCATGAGTAGATCCAGAGATGTGGCTATGTGGCACAGTGGTTAGAATGCTAAACTTAGAGTCAGAAAGAAAGACTTGAGTTTGAATCCTGTCTCAGACACTTACCAGTTATATGGCCCTGAGCAAGTCCTTTTTTTAAACCTCTCATAGCCCCATATATCATCAGAAAAATGGGGACAACAGTAGCATCTACCTCATAAGGTTGTTGTGAGGAAAATGAGATAAGTGCTATGTAAGGTTAGTCATTATTATTATAATCATTAGTAACAATAATGATGACCATTAATAATAAATAAAATTATGATGATGGTGAGGATGAAGGAGATAACGCTGATGATAACCAGGTCCTTTGATTCAAGGGCCAGCACTCTTTCCATTGTAGAATTCTGAGAGTCAGGTTACAATTAAAAAATGCCCCAAGGTGGCTGGCATTCTATGTGGGCTGGAAGGAATATTACACAGGTAATTTTCCTCAGTGCCAATGGAAGTTATCTGCATTATGGGAGTTTCCTACATGAATCTCCGGTGCCCAAGAGAGTTGTCAATAGAGGACAACATTTTTGAGTTCTATCGCTTTGGTTAGACTCCATTATATTAGGTAGACGTGGTCTCTCCACCATCCCCTCCATATCCCCAAAGTACAACAACAACGAACTTTAATTTAATTTAATCACACTTCCCCCTCCCACCTCTCCTTCTCACAATAATGATGGATATGTCAATACCCTTTAGTCTTGTGCTTCGACAGCAATGAGAAATCATACTAATATTTTGTGGTTTATCACCACAGACAGGAATACTTTGTAATTGTTTAAGAATAGATATGGAAAGGAAAATCTTTAACTGAAGAAAGGTGTTTTTTTTTTTAAATGAGTGAACGAATGAATGACTAAATGAATTAAAGAATGAATAAAGGGAGTACATGGCTCCAGCATTAATATTCACATTAAGTTGTTGGTTAACAGTGTTGGCAAAGAAGTCTTTCCCTTGGGATGCTAGCCTTGTACAGGTTGTCTTTAAGGATTATAACAGGATGCTCTATTTCCAAAATATCCTTCTTTCTTCTAAACCATGTATGTGTCTTCCTCCCTCCCTTCAGATACAAGAAATCCACAAGCCTTTTCAATTTTCTCAGTAACAGGAATTATGTAACATGAATACTAGCACCATTGGCCTATCAAACTTCAAAGAAAGGTGAATTTTGTGTCTTCTTATTTAAAAAAAAGCAATGAATTTCTAATCATGGCAGGTCCATCTATTTCAACCTTTGTATCTAGAAGGCAGCTCAAGCTGGGTGAAGTATATTTATGTAGAAATGACAGACACAGGGAGGCCCACTGGAAAGAGGAATCCCTCTAACCATCCACAGAATGTGAGAAAGTTTGCAGAAGCCTGGCTTCTGGTAGTGTCCATGTGAGGCTGGCTCCCACCAAATGTGCTGAACAGCAGGTCACAGATGCTATCGGGGTTCTCAAGCCCTGTTTGGCGACCATTCAGGCAATGATCAAGTCACTCACAATGGGGCTATGGAATCCTCAGGAAAAGTGTTTAACGCAATAGAAATTTTTAACAAATAAAGCATGTCACCCACTTTAACAAAGGAGGGGGAGAGAAAGAGTGAAATTTGGGAAAATAAAATAAACAATGGTGGAGTGTTGGAATTTCTCAACAGTTGGGAATCCTTAGTGTACAATGTCAAGAAGGGATCACAGAATTGTAGATTTAGAAATGGAAAGGACCTTTGAGTTCTTTGAGCCCAGCCCTTTCATTGTATAGATAAGGAAATTGAGGCCCAGAAGCTGAGTGACTTGGCCAGGGTCACATAGCTGGGTAAATATATAAGATCAGATTTGAACTCGTTTTTCTGTCTCCAAACACAGTGCTTTCCCCACATACCATCCTACCCTTCTATATTGACATTCACTTGCCCCTACCTTTTTTTTTTTGGATCAGACCTCTGATTTGATTGGTATGAAAACTCCCAGTAAGGAAACTCCCTTTACCAATATAAATCAGTACCTTCTCAGCAGTGAATGGTTAAGCAGCTCAGAGGTGGCATGTGAACCTGAGTTTCCTGCCTCCTGGGCTGGTTCTGTATCTACTATGTGTTGCCTCGGAAATGTCCAAAGGAAAGGTCTCATTCCTTAGTTTTCTGTGTTTCAGGCAACTTACAAAGGATGACTTCTTTAGCCTTTGCAAGTTCCCTAGTTAAAGCTAGAGTCAACAAGATACAATGAAGATTTGAGTCCCTCTGCCATTTACAGGATGATTGGGTCACCCCTGGAGAGTTCCTTTTCCATTTCAGAACCATTTCCTTTATGTACAAAACGGGGGTGAAGGCTCTTGCCCTGTAAACTCACACAACTGTTACAAGGCTTCAAGCAGGTAATGGGTATGAAGTACTCTGTTGATATGAGCTGCTTTGTACTCCACATTATCCATGTGGAAACTTGGACTGGCATCACAGGTTCCACCACTGTTCTAGCAGGTGGCTTTGCAAACCCCCTTTAAGTGCGCCTCAGCATGGAATACATGTTTAGAGTCCTGAACCTGGAGTTAGGAAGAGTCAGGTTAAAATCCTACCTGAGACACTTATAAGCAGCATGACCTTAGACAAGTCATTGAACTTGTGTAAGCCTCAGTTTTGTGAAAAGGAGGTAAAAAGGCAGAAGGCTGGTCTTGGAGTCAAGAAGAGCTAGGTTCAAGCCCCACTTCTCACCTTAATACTCTCACACTTCACAGCTTTGTGACCCTGGGCAAGTCACCTAACTTACCTGATTTCAGTTTTCTTTTCTATGAAAAAGAGATAAAAATACCACCCATCTTACTGGGTTAATGTGAAGTTGGAATGAGATAATATATGTAAAGCATCCTGCAAACCACAAAGCACTCCATAAATGTGGGCTACTAATGGCTTCGCTCAGCTCCTTGAACCCCTTAAAATATTACGTAGGTGTGACTATGACAGGAGCGTTGTCTGTGAAATCGGAAGAACTGAGCTCAAGTCCCATCTCTGATATCATTTGTGTTATTACAACACAATATTAACTAGGCCTCAGTTTCCTCATCTGTAAAAAGGATTAGATTAGCTGGCCCCTACAGTTGCTTCCAGCTCCAAATCTATCATGCAATGCTCCTATGATTCCCTAAAACACTTTGCTTTCTTTTCATTTGGAGTTGACAATGGCCCAGAAAGTAAATTTGGGTGAAAACTCTCTGGTGATAGCGGTGGGGAGGCGGTAATGGCAGGAAGGGGAAGACAGAGTTTGGCCCAAGTGACTTTAGGGCTCCTCCCCCCCAAAAAAAACAATTTAACAAAGAATCAGCCAATGGATTACAGGGATTTTTAAAAGCCCCTGTGCCAGTACTCACCCACCATATGCTTGCACGTGTAATATGGATGGCCTAAGTAAGGATTGTAGATTCTGAGCCAGAAGGAATCTCTGAAATCATGGACTCCATCTACCTCCTGATACTGAAGCCCAGAGTAGTTAAGTGACTTGTCTAGAGTTTTAAGGGTAGTAATTTGTTGATCCAAGATTTAAACCCAGGTCCTTTGACTATAGATTAGAGGTTTTTTTTTTTTTGCTATCACCCCACCTCACAGAATTGTTCTGAGTACCGAGACAACATATATAAATTACTTTGCAAACCTTCAAGCACCATAGAAATGCTAGCTATTATTGTTGTTGAATCAAGTAAAAACACACATATAGAGCACTTTACAGTTTACATAACGTTTTGCATACAGCACACCTGTGAGGTAAACATGTTACTCTTCCCATTTTACAGGAGAAGCCAAGGCTCAGGAAAGGGCAGTCACTCACCCAAGGCTACATATCTACTGAAACAGCAGACCCAGGCCAGGAAGCCAGGTCTTCTGACTTCAAGAACAAGCCTCTCTCTGCCCTGCCCCACCATTGCAGAAGTCTTCATGGCCAAATCACAGCCTACCAACTCACTCCTAACCCAGCTTATCTCGTCCAGGTGTTGGCTTGAGAAAGGTTTTTCAGAAATCAAGTGGAGGGATAGCCACCATCTGGTTTCCAAAGGGAAGAATTGGAGACTGTCATTGCTACAGACTCCTTCTGAGGCAGGGAGAGCAGCTGGGGCTGGCATCACCCCATTTTACAGATTGTGGGCTTGAGATTCAGATTCAAGATTTGCCCTTGGTCAAAGAATAAATAAGTGCA